CGTGGGACACCCGATAGGAACGAAGTTGTGACGATCGAGTAAAACTGATTCGACACGATTTTAATTACAACGCCATCTATGAAAGCGGCTATTACCTACATATTTTTCAGTTGGTTTCTAATTAAAACAATTTATATATTGGTAAAATCTCCTTGAGAAATGATTGATTGAATATTGATTCGATAGATGGCGCTGAATGACTGACAAGTGACAATTCAAAATATATACTGAGATGAAAAGTAATGATTTCCTATCTATTCGATAGATGACGCTGAATGACTGACATAAAAAGTGTCGTTACAACTTTTCGTGAGAATTTTTTCCGTCCAGCCCCCTTTCACAACGCGCGATAAGGAACTTCGTTCCAATAATACAACGCTGAATCATTTAATGATTGATCGTTCTAATATAATGAATTCTATTGCACGACGGACTCATGTAGGTACTTAATCAATCACGACTATCGCATTATTACAGCGCAGATTACTGTTTGCTGTCCGATATTGGCAATCCATTGCAGTTAAATCTAACGTTTATTATTAGTTACCAGTATCTGTGTTATTGATATTCGCATGAAGTTAATATCATATCTGAGGGCTTAGTTTCACACAAATTCGATCGTCACAGCGACTGCGTTCGGCCGCCAATGAAATCTTCAGCAACCGCGTCGCCGAACACGCTCGCCGAGAGATTTGATTTGATTGACATAAACGAGCACTATGCCCACTGTAGTATACTCGCCACGGTATCCCTGGAGGTGTTTTTTTCTATACTAGAGTCCCATTGAAGTAACAGGTGTCAAGCTTATTGTGGGTATTTAGAGAATTACAGGTGATAAATTTAAATTACATTGCAAGCTAAAGGGAGAAAAATAGTCAAGATAATCACAGAAAATAGATCTTTCTTATACGGATAAACATCGACGATATATCTAACATGAGGGTTGCATACCCATAACTAGAAGTAGATGTTGCTTTCTTAACGTATGTTATTTTATACTACCAAAACGTACTAAGTATGTATATATTCAAATGTTTTGTTAAATAAATAATAGTAATATTTATTGTTTTAAATAAGGTGGATCCATGCAGTTTTTCACAATTCCTATCAAATTATAAGTAAACTTCACAATACTTTTTTATGGTATAAGGGGGCAAACGAGCAGACCCGTCTGCTGATGATGGTAAGCAACTACCGCCGCCCATGGACACCTGCAACTCAAAAGTCACAAGTGCGTTGCCGCCCTTGGAGTCCCTCTCGCTCGAGTCAGCGGGAGGGGGAATTTGGGCTTCGGTAACCTCACTCACTCAGTGAAAGGCAACTAAAGAATTGCTTAACACCGGTTTTCTGTGAGGCCGTTTTATCACTCCGGTCGAGCCGGCCTATTCGTGCTGAAGGATGGCTCTCCCACGGTAGAATATACCAAGCCACCACCACTACCTTGGTATACAATATACCAAGTGTGTCATATTAATTGTCAGTTGTTAGCATATAATTATTTATTTTTAATATTTATTGTCTACACCTCGCTAAATTATTATCAGTAAAATATGTAGTAACAAATTCAATGTCTTCGTGACTGTAAGCTTCTCTAAAGGTTTCGAGTTCTCGTACGTTACGCAGTGCCTATTCTATTCTGCGGCGGACTGAAACAATTTCGCCGCCTTACAAAAGAACGTGGTTTATTAGTGCTGCTAGAGCATTGTGTTTATTTTTTACTATCGGAACACGTAAACAATAGACGATATGAGAGTTGTCTGTGTTTACAAAGTGTAGTGTGAAGAATAAATTATGATTAACCTATTTATTAAAAGGTTTAATTCTTTTATTCTTCTCCCTTTTCCCTCCCCCCCCTTATTACTAAGGGATGGAGGTGCGACGGCGACAGTAGCCGCGTACCATCAGATGATCCGCCTGTTGGTTGGATGATTGATTGATTGGACATGAAATGGACTTTCTAAGTACTAGTCTGAGTAATGGCCTTACAAGTTAACACAAGTTTCCTGTTTTGCAAGCTTTCCCTAAAACTAATTTAAACTTATGACTTCCGATAGCGAGCTTAATAATTTATGTGTAGGTTTTGTTAAGCTCGTTAAATAAACTACTTAGTAAAGTGGTACATCGGACTCGAAACTCGAAATAAATAAAACCACATACTCTTACGTCATCAGATCTTTGGAAAGAAAAAAGCCGGGAGACGGAACCTCTTTAAATGTTCCTTTAAAACTCTTTTACTTATATAGTGAATGAAAAAAACGTACAAAATACAAATTTAAATATCAACAACAATAACAATATAAATGAAAAATCGAACATTGCATAAAAGTTGTCGGTTAATTACTTTTATTGCACTGTAACTATAGACACTCATTATTACAAAGAAGAAATCACTATATAGGGTGTAAGGGAAATCGTAACGAATACTGAAATAGTGTATTAAGACCATCATTCTGAGTCGTTGGTCGGTTGGTTGGTCGAGTCTATAATGGTTAGTTGCACTAGAAATTCGATGTTAAACCGCTGCGCTTTTATAGCGCTATCGAATTTGCTAGAATGATCTCTAGTATTCGATGGACTGTCTTATTTGTCTGGAACAGTCCGTTCCAGACAAATAAGAATGTGCCAGTATCAGTTAAGCGTTACTTGCAGCGCCATCTAGCGCTGTAAGTATCAGAATTATTAATCACAATCTCAATGGTTGTACTTTATTCTATACTAGATGGTGCTGTCCTTTACATTCCACACAATTCTGGAACAATCGAACCATTAAATCCTATGGCGCAACAATATTGACAATGTCCGGTGGCGTAAATAGTGAAGAGAACTTATAACTCCAATATCAATCAGCGTATCCGAAAACAACAATAATCTATACTAACATTATAAAGCTGAAGAGTTTGTTTGTTTGTTTGTTTAAACGCGCTAATCTCAGGAACTACTGGTCCGATTTGAAAAATTCTTTCAGTGTTAGATAGCCCATTTATCGAGGAAAGCTATAGGTTATATATCATCACGCTAAGACCAATATGAGCGGAGCACCAATGAAGAATGTTTCAAAAACGGAGAAAATTTATTACTATTGAGAGACGCAGACGAAGTTGCGCGGGTCAGCTAGTTCCATATAAAGTCGAACCACTATTTACTAAGAGAGCCTTGCCAGTTTTACTAGGAGATTCACTTAATATCGCATCATCTATCTAAGAGTGTAGGTATCAACCTTAATAGATTTATATTGCAGCAATCTGCATCCACGCCAAATCACCAAACGCCAAATCACTTCAGGCATTTAAAATGTATTGTGGAATAATTAAGTTCATGCATACATGAATTCTGAAAACACTTCTTGATTGAATTTTGTTTTTCAATACCGTATTGCTAATACTTAAATACTATTGACCAAGGGTATTCATGACGTAGAACAAATACGTAACATATCGACCGAATCTCGATTGGCTCATGTTGTTTTCATAGCAAATTCATTCTTGTTTATTCTTTAAATTATTCCACGCGGGCTTGGACTATGATCGAATCTTATGTTGTCATTTCAGATACATGGATGGATATAAACTATTCATTGCATACAAAATAAATACACACTACGCTTATATCCTAAACGAGACCGGCAGAGGTCTAACGAAACGTCCATATTAACTGACTCCTGGATCTGAGGTCGTGGGTTCGATTCTCACCCAGGACAAATATTGTGTGATGAGCACCATCATTTGTTCTGTGTCTGGGTGTAATTTAGTTATAATATTTAGAAATATTAAAGTATGATTATCAGCAGTCTGGTCACCATAGTACAGGCACTGTCTAGTTTGGGATCAGACTGCCGTGTGTGAGTTATTGTTACGTTAAGGCAACTATAATTTTAGTTCTACTTACACACGTAATAGGAGTCAAGCCTTTTTCTGTCAACGAGGGAGGTAAATAAGAAAATTGGGAGTGTATTAAGAAGACAGGTGGATAAGAAGAGAGAAGGTAGGAAAGGATATTGCTCATGGGGCTGGATTGAGTAGTATCAGCAATAACTCGAGTAGGTAAGGCCTATGACTCAAAAAAAATTGGCTGAGTTCAGTCTTTTAAAAATTACACGATGTTTTGCTGTTTTTTTTCCGCATGAAACTAATATTTAAATATATTAGTGGTGTCACCATCATCATCGTCAGCCTTTAATAATCCACTGCTGGTTCTGGCCTCTAGGCCTCTCATTAGAAAGGAGATTTTGGCCTACTATACCACCAGACGGGTTGGTATAGGGTTTGTTTGAAGTTTTTCTTCTCTTTGTAGTGCTCTTGTCCTGCTGAATTTATTCCCTTAGTCGTCTCTTTCGACAGCCACGGGATGTAAATTAATGTATAAATAAATGTATAATAATAGGGGTAGGGACACTTCGTATTAATAGTCCGTAACCACACGGACTAGTGGTTTCAACCAGGTCGACCGTAAGTATTGAATATTTTTTTCTGTAAGTAGTTTAGTAATTATTATGTTCATACGAGTACTAGTTTATTATCATTAGATCATATTAGTTAGACACTCTGATGTTGAATGAACTTAAAATTGACAGGGACTTAGGCTGAATCATCGCCAAGACCACTTTCCTTTACACCTACGGACACCTGTGATTCATCATCCTCTCATAGTCCACTGCTGAACAAAGTTCTTTCCTTAAAAAGGAGGTTTTGGCTATTATACCACAGTGGCCAGCTGTCATTTTAATTTTAATTTTAAAAGGTCTGCTAGCAACCGAAATTACTAGTATTCCCGTTAACCGCGGTAGGCGCTAAGCTAAATTGCTTGTGTTAGGAGTAAGCTGACGTCGGTAGTGTACTGGTCAGGATTTGAAGTCACAAGCCTAACGCCTTAACCACCAGACTACCGCCACTTCTTGAATTAGTTGAATCCAAATTATAGTACTTATTTTTTTTTACAAATTGAGACAAAATAATGTTTTTCCTTTATCTATTTTTATACGACAAAGAAATATAGAAACATACCTGACACAGCGGCAGGAACACCTCTCCAATGGAATCATCTCTTGAGAACCGATCGTAGTCGAACACGTGGAGGTGGAGGACCTGGAACAAATGTACCATGTTTACAAATTCAACCGATTTGGTAGTCTACTAGTGCCTGTCTGTATGAATTGAAATATCATTAATTGCTTGTGAGATGGCAAAGGCGCGTATCAGCAATTTTCAAAACCACGTATCAATATTTTCTAAATTTATTGTTATTTTGGTTAATAGGACTCATTAATGGGACTCAAAATCTTTATGATTCCTTTCTGTGTTATGTACACGAATGTGTGAAGTTACCAATATCTCTATTATATATGTAGGTTTGTAAATATTTAAATTTTACGATTTTGTAAATACGCGGTATAGCAAACCGGTGTTTAGCAATTACTTCGTTAATTTTCACTGAGTGAATGAGGTTATCGGAGCCCAAACCGATCCTTTCCTTGATTCTGTGGGGGAGGACTTGAGTCACTTACCATCACATTAAGCGTTAACTTCCTTCCCCCTGGCATAAAAAATATAAGCTTTTGCCAGCGTATTTCCTCACATAGTATAGTTTCGTAATCAATCAAGGACTCTACTATTGGAGGTCGTGTATAATATATGTATGCACTGGCCTGTGTTTATAATTTTAATTCCACATACCTATCACCTACTTAAAATAAGCTTAGTTGCGGTGTTGTTTATGTTCTTTACATTGTTACTTGTGTGTAAAATATTGACCACGAATGAATATAATAACTATCATACCACTGCTGCTCTCATTATTGGTACTGTTTTCCAATTTATATTAACACCCACACACAAAGTATAGTAAAACACATCTGACTCTTGAGTACCAGATATCCCTGGGTGGGTGATCACTTGCCTTCAGGTAACTTATCTGCTAGATAGCGCCTTAAATATCATGAATTTAGAATCTTCTGTTTACATGAATTTATAACTTCGAAATATTCTACTTTTACCTAACTCACAGTTGATCTTTGAATTCCTCTCCCGGAAATAGTTGGATGGAGGGTTTGTGCACCGGTAACTTCACTCACTTGGTGAACAACAACGAGAGAAATGCTTAACAACGGTTTTCTGTGAGGCCGTGGTATCACTCCGGCCCATTTGTGCCGTAAAATGGCTCTCCAAGAGTTATAAAAAAACAATCACAATTGGAATTTCTCTAACGCATGACTTCTTTAAAAAAACATGAGGAGTTTACTACCTCCTCCATTACACTGACATCATGGACGAAGTTTTATAAATTAAAATCAAACTCTGAACTATCTACAAAGCAAGTATTGACTGATATAAATTATCGTTATGATATCGCTGAGCGACCACCACTAATAGCTACCAAATTATTTAAGTTAAGGGATGATTAATTATCAGATTAGGGTGGACGTCTTTCGTCCTTTATTGTTCCGGAGGACGAGTTCCAACAATAAGATTGCTGAGGACAATGTTGACAGTTCTACCCTAAAATAATAAATACTCTATTTATAGCTACAATGGAAACGTTTAGTAAAAATTTGATAGAAAATACATAATTTGACCCCTCCGCTCGTTTGCCCTGCTATACCTACTATAAAAAAAGTTTCAAATTTGCCGACTAAAAAATGAACAACACAAAATACACGTGAGTTATGTTAACGAACCAATGAGGTTAGTTCAATATATTCTCAAATTATCCTTTTAATTTACAATATTTATCGAGCCCACCGCCATAATTTTGATATCTGAGCGGTAAACGTAAATTTTGTATCCAATTTTCGTATCATAAATTAAACCAATAATCTCGGATTTCAAATCTTTTCCCACAAAATTCCCAACGGGAAATTTAATGAGGAAATTAAACCGTATTACCATACTCTTCCTTGTTTGACCTTCTTCAGATTTCGAACCTACTGGATAATATGCTATTCAGCAAACTGAGTTACAATTCTGATCGACTTTTAATATTTTTAACCGATTTAAAAAAAGAGTCGATTCTGAATTGATTGGGTTTTGTTATGTGTGTTATATCACAACTCAGTCGTTCATGAACAAATCTGGCAAAATCTTCTCTTTTTTTAAAGGAAATACTTTTCATGTGGTCCTAATTATTTGATGAACAAATATCACCCTTAAGGGTTGAATATTAAAGCATGATAATAATACAGTTTCTTTAAAGAAAGGAAAAAGCACTGAAGGTGCATTGAAATCGGTGCTATTTTCATCACAATCGTCAGTCCTTAATAATCCACTGCTGGACTCTGGCCTCTCCTTACAAAGGAGGTTTTGGCCTACTATATCATGTTGGCCAGACGGGTTGGTATAGGGTTTATGTTAAGTTTTCCTTCTCTTTACAGTTCTGTTGACCTGCGTAGTTTGATCCCTCAGTCGGCTCTTACGACACTCACGGGACGAATAGAGGTGGTGACACTCCGTATGCTTAATCCGCCACCACACGGACACTATTTAAAAAAGGTTAAATTTTAGTCTTTACTTAAGTTCTCCGGTAAAAAAGATGTGATTAACATTGAGAAGCTCAAAAGCTATAGTTTGAATACTAGCTAAAACACACGTTTGAATAGTAATTTGAGGATGACTTTAAAAAAGAACCGGGTCTAATTGTTAATGTAACCCGTCCCTCGATGGTTTACATATACAAAACGCAACATACAATAATTAAAATCGGTGCTGCGGTTTAAGAGATGCGTTATATGTATATAATGTATAATGAATTTTTACATAAAGCTCAAATTATTAAATACAAATTGTACGCTACCCCGCTTCGTTGTGATGTGATTCTGGGGGAGGGGACTCCTTATAAGAGGAAGTGCATAAAGGTACAATATTTATGTACCTGTCCCACCCCCTGCCACGATTCGCTGTGGCACAATGTGGTTGTATTGATGAGTAATGATTAACAAAACTGACGCGAAAAATAGATAAAAACAATCTATGACGTGCGTTTTATATCGTGTCAAAATTTGAGTTCAATCGGTGCCGAACTTTTGGAGTGTTTTAAAGCGTACACAAACCAACTTAACATTTTTTTATTTATAGGTAAATTTATACACAATACTCACGACTTTATCTATACTATAAATTTTCCTAAGGCCTACTTACGTAATGCTGACAAGCCTGTTACTAAAGCCTATTGCTAAGACGTATTGCCAAGACCTATTTCCAAGGCCTATTTCCAAGGCCTATTGCCAAGCCATTGCAAGGCACATACATTTTTAACTAAACATACTTATATATTTCTAAATACATACATATTATAAATTACACCCAGACACAGGGTGGGTGGTAATCGAACTCCTCACGCCTAAAATAACCACACTGTTAGACGTTCGTGTAGAACGGGACAGTCAGATGACTTTAGAACTTTTAGGACTTTTGATAAACCTTAAATCTACCTGGCAACATTACCACGTTTGATTGAAATGCTAATTACTTACCTAAGAAAAAAGCCAGACTCCTGGTCGCAAGAAGTTTCGACCGGGTCCTTAAATAGGTTCCTATAAACGGAACGAGTACTCGAACCTAATGACCCAATGAACGTTAGGAACCTAATAATGAGCTTGTTAATTAGGGTTTTGAAGGTAAAATTAGGCTTCAGATATTTGGAAAATCTTGATATTAAAATTACTTGCACAGACTGACTGATTAGCCGCTGGGGCTACAAACTTGAAATTTTGGTAGCATTTGGTAGAATACCTTTTATGTTATAAGCTCATACTAAGAAAGTGTTTTTGGAAATTTCATCTCTAAGGAAGTAAAATAATGTTTATATGGAAGTTAGAAACACGAAATGAGAAAAAAACCGGGGTCATCAGCTAATCCATATATAAAAATAGATTCTAATACCACATTAGTACAATTTATTCTATTTTATCTAGAACTAGCTTTTGCCTGTGAGTGTGCCAGTTATCGTGGTAAAAAGTAGTCTTTGTCCTTCCTAAAAAATCAAACTATCTCTATACCAAATTTCATCCCATACAAACTTCCACCCCCTTTTCTACCCCCTTAAAGGATGATTTCTGAGATAAAATCTATCGTCCTTTCCCGGGACTCGAACTATCTCTATACCCAATTTTATTTAAATCGGTTCAGCGGTTTAAGCGTGATGAGGTAACAGACAGACAGACACACTTTCACATTTATAATAGTAGTATGGATTATTAAGAATTTCAATAATAATAATAAATCACCCCAGATCGTGCACACAACGTCTTACATTACCACGGCAAGATGGAGGGAGAGGTCTCATCGACATACAGAATCTACACAACAATCTTATAGATAAGTTACGCAAATATTTTTACGCCCAAGCCGGACAATCCCATCTTCATAAATTCTTAACCGATATAGACAAAAAATTAACTCCGCTCAACTTAAACGACACAAACATTCAACCAAAATTATTGAGCAAACAGCAGAAAATAGACTTATGGGCACAAAAGTCTCTACACGGACTCTCTACAGACATCTCGCCGATCTCAGCCAAACACACGTCGATAGAAAAGCGTCGAACGAGTGGCTGCGGCGCGGAGAACTCTTCCCAGAAACCGAGGCTTTTGTGATCGCTATTCAGGATCAGGTTATCGATACTCTTAACTACAAAAAACACATAATCCGTACCCCTAACCTTCCTACCGACTTATGTAGACGATGCCATAGCAGTTCCGAAACCATCCAACACATCACTGGTTCTTGTAAATCTATTGTACAAACTGATTATAAACACAGACATGACCAAGTTGCAGCAATAATCCATCAAAATCTAGCTCACAAATACTCATTTATTTCAAATAAAACTGCTTATTATAAATATAAACCCAGTACAGTTCTAGAAAATAATGCATTTAAAATATATTGGGATAGGACAATAATTACCGACAAAACCATACATTATAATAGACTGGATATAACAATACTAGACAAAACTAACAAAATAGTTTTTATTATAGACATAGCAGTATGTAACACACACAATCTCCCCCGACGCACACAGAAAAGATGACTAAATACACAGACTTAGCAACGGAAATAAAAAGGCAATGGCAGGTAGATAGAGTTAAAATAGTACCGATTGTCATATCTACAACTGGTGTAGTACCGAAGACTCTTCAAGATAGCCTCAACATATTGGAAATGCCGAAATCCTCCCTCATACTCTTACAAAAAGCAGTCCTTCTTAACACATGCCGTCTCACACGCAAATTTCTCGCTTCATCCTCATCATCTTAACTTCATACCATCATCCCTTTTTGGCACACTTGGCTAAGGCCCGTGTGTTAGATTTTGTTACCCCTTTAAAATAAAAGGGAGACCAGACAAGGTATAAAATGACATAATAATAAATAATATTGTACCACATTGACACAACGCCATCTAGTCCCAAACTAAGCAGAGCTTGTACTATGGGTACTAGACAACTGATATAATTACATATATACATTTTTTTTTTGTAAATACATACTTATTATACATAGAAACACCCAGACCAAATCAAACATTAAATGTTCATGCACACAAATGTTTGACGTGAACGGGAATCAAACCCGCGACCTTTGGAATAGCAGTCCGTTATACAAACCACTACGCCATTTGGTCGTCAATAAATATTTGGTACGGTTGACATTTTTCTTTTCTTAATCGATGTGGAAGAGTTTTGAAGAGTTTTCCAACTAGATTTATTACCTTACAACAAGCAGTTACGTTTATACGTCTTTCAATAGAAAAGTTCTGTCTTATAGGCTTATTTCGTTGGTTTTAAAAGTTAAAAAAGGTATAAAAGTTATTTCAGAGAGCTTTAGTGACGACAAATGGGCTCAGATAAATAAATGACTGAATTTATTACTTTAGGTTGTTAGTTTGATTCTCGGTGTGGACATCTTTTGTGTGTGTGATGTGAGTACCTGATGTTAAGTGACTACAGCTGCCAATTAATAACAGCAATTCAAGTGTCATATAGACGTAGCCAGCTTTGAGTACCTCCCCTCTCCCAAAATCATTTGCTTAACACCGATTTTCTGTGAGGCCCTGATATTCCTCCGATCGAGCTGACGCATATGAAGCATTGCTTGCCCGTGGTTATACATGATACGTATCATGTCCAGACACGTCTGCCTGTCCTTAGATGCTATCAATTATTACACGTGCAAAAGAGTTTAAAATATTATCACACAAAATTATAAATATATAATTACACACATAATCGTGGTAATTCTGGTTTCTGGTTTAAGAATCTTTATTTCTGAAAAGAATTTACGAAATTCACTTACTGAGAAAACATACATAAAAGTAAACAAAATAAATCCATTCGCGTTTTCATATAATATAAAGTAAAAGTGGGTAGTCAAATATATTTTGCTTAAGCTAATTATAATGTCTTGATTCAACGCTTAGAAAGAAAATTTTAATTAAATATGTATCGTAGAATGCAAAAGTAAAAGGAGGAGTTTTAGAGTTTCGTTATTTAGTATTACCTACTGGCAATTTTAGTCGTATACTCAAAGGATTTTTTTTATTAAAGGCTTACTAGCAACCGAAATTACTAGTATTCCCGTTAACTCCTCCAGCTAAGCTAAATTGATTGTGTTAGGAGTGGGTTCACGTCGGTAGTGTACTGGTCAGGATTCGAACCCACGACCTCTTGATCGCAACTCCAATGCCTTAACCACCAGGCTACCGCCGCTTTTTAAATCTACTATTATCTATTTTTTAAATTTAATGATTTAAATCTACTCCTTAAATTCTTAAATAAAGGTATTTATTTACTTAATAATAGGTCTTTACCTATGAAATTGCCGTTTTGTATGCAATAAGTGAAAGTACTTATTTTTTCAAACTTTTTTATTTCTGTTATTTAGTAATCACCCATGCAATCGACGCATCTTTGCCAACGAATTGGCAGTTTATTGATGCCCTTCTTGTAAAAATCAGCTGGACGGGAGGCAATAAACTCTTCAAAGGCATTTTGTACTGCCTCTCTGGAATTGAATTTTTACCCACTAAAAAGTTGTCTAAATTTTGGAAAAAGTAATAGTCGGTAGGTGCAACACAACAACAATTTGTAGATCACACAAAGTGTCGTCCCATGTGGGGATCGGACCCACAAAACTCAGTGTAGTAGTAAGTGGCGTGGTGACCACTACCATACCACCGTAAACCACTACGTTATCCGTGCGAAATTTTATTCCAGAAAATGTCTTACCCGACTCTGTAACTTCTGAATAGGGAAACCCTCGAAGTAGAAGGTTTCGTTCCACCGTGGGTTGAGGGTGCGTCTCTTGATCTTCGTCTCTAGACGATGTTTCTTGTCGGGCAGCAGGGTGACGCGGACATAGGGATCCGAAGTACCGCTGAGATCCTTGGCGGGGAGTTCTTTGCCCTGAGAAAAACAATCACAATTAAATAGGGAAAGAAGTACGAAGGAGAAGAGTAAGAAGGTAAACGGATACCAGTGCCCATGACGCTTTGGCTGAAACATGTATTGCTAACCTTTTCCTTTCTGCTTTGTTTTTTCAAGTTTGTTCTGAATAGAATCACCAGTTAAATCATCATATGTTACTTTAGTAACATAAAAACATGCCTTTTCAGAGTTAATTTTATATGTAAGTATATAATAGCTAATAATTATATTATTTAACATACAAAGAAAAGATTTTTCATCCATTATTTGCTTTTGTGATTTTCACAACGAATCGTGATAACACAATGGAAAATATATGATCACTGTTTGTTTAATATTTTAGCAGACATATATGAAACTGAGGAGTATTGTGGTGAAAAACAGAGAAACACATTGGCTTGTAAATCATCTTTTGTATACAGTAATACAATGTATTTTAGCTATATATTAATGTATGTATGTTATGTATTAATGTAATTACTGTAGGTAAAAACTTTGACATTTTATTGCAGGTATTTCATACTCCCGACGCAAAAATAATCGTTTTTATAAGCTCTGTGTCTTTCAACGGTGTATCATCATCATCAACAGCCTTCAATAGTCTAATATAAATAGTCTCCTTAGAAAGATGGTTTTGGCATACAATACCACGCTGGCCAGACGGGTTAGTCCAGGGTTTATTGCTAGTTTTCCTTATCTTTGCATTGCTGTTGTCCTGCGTAGTTTGTATAGTCGGCACTCACGACACCCACGGGATGAATAGGAGCGGTAACACGCCACATTCTTATTCCCTTACCACACGGATCGCCGGTGTATATAGCTACTAAATGGATTGCCTGATAAGGGTTTGATATTAATTTTTGATTAAAAAGTAATTTTATGGAGTGTTTTTTTGCAATGATTAACTGCTTATCCGGTCGTAGATCGCCGGTTAATTTGTATTCGTTGAAGTGATTTTTGAATTTGAGTGTCTCAAATGTTTCCTTTATTCTCTTGTTTGAAGGGTGACTAAGGTCTGCCATATTCAGGGGGATTTCTTATTCTACACATATTATATATTATCCAGACATAAACTATATAGGTTTTAAAACTCGTATGAACGTACTCCGGGCATCAATTCTGCTATTTTATCTGTTAACGCCAATTTACTGTCATTCTTTTGACACGCTATTGAGATTGACATCGTTGAAAATATCAGTATTCTACTAACATGATTTCTCAGTGTCAATAGACTGTCGATACAGTAACATATTGTATTGTTTGTATTGTATTGTTGATGAATTTTTACAGACTCGATTTTTTTAAATGTTTCATGTCCAAGTTTAATATTGGCGTTGATTGTTGTTGAATTTCTTGCGTATGTCATGACCTACAGTAATAATAGAATTTATATATAATCTTTAATGAATTTTTTATCAAATAATCAGAATTTTAATATATATACATATTTTTTTAAATACTATAATTTTAAATATTGTACTTAATAATTTGTATGCCCAAATGGCAGATCATGGAATGAATATCATTAATAATTATGTAATGAACACCTGTATGTAACCCATGTATCACAAATAAATGATTTGATTTGATTTGATGTGACATAGGTCATCAATGCTGATATCAATAACATTGCGATACCTTTAAAAATGTATACTGTACCGTTTACCAAACTATTACAAAGACATCGACGACATTTGTATCGGTGACGAGTCATCCATTGGTTTTACATAGTTAATAGAATAGGAAAAGTGCAAAACTATTCCGACGACATTCTATCGACGGTCTATTGATATAATATTAAAATATCGGAATTGAGGCCCAGGACATTTGTGGTAATAAATACATACATATTATAAATAATACCATCGATATCGACGCAAATGTACATACTCATAAATGGCTTACCCACGGAGAAATGTATAAAATATTTTACTAGTTTTTCCAGCGGCTTGGCCCGCGGTTATGTCGGTTATCGTGGTAAAAAGTAGGCTATGTAACTCACTGATAACGTAGCTTACCATTGGTAAAGGAATTTTTAAAATAGGTGTAGTGGTTTATGCGTGAAAGCGTAACAAACATACAAACTCACTTTTATATTTAAAACTAGCTGAGACCCGCGGTGTTACCCGCGTTTGTTGTTATAACCGCATAATATATAGTCTAAAAAAAGTAGCCTAAGTTACTCCTTATGTCATCAGCTATCTGCCAGTGAAAGTCCCGTCGAAATCGGTCCAGCCGTTCTAGAGATTACCCGGAACAAACAGACAGACAGACAGATAGACAGACAGACAGACAAAAATTGTAAAAAATGCTATTTTGACATATGTACCGTGTAAACATACATATCGCACCCTCGGTGCAACAAAGTCACAACAGGTCATTTTGTAATTTTACAGGAACGGACTTTTAAGTTTTTTTTCGATCAATTTTCCTTTTTTCTAGATTACTACCTACAGCAGCCGGGATATCTCATTAAAATTATATTATTTGTTCTTTTAACTACAGTATCATGTAAAAAGATTTCTTTGAATTTATTAGAAAATTGAAAAAAAAAGGAAACAAAAAAAAAGTCGTAACTTGTGACTATGTCGCACCAGGTACAAATATAATTTAATTATTTAAGCGTTATAATGGCACTTTGTTATTTCAATATACGTGAATAAAAATTGACATTAATACCTTTAAGCTGGTGTAGCTCCAAGTCACGACTGACTCATGCGGGCGCGGGGTCACTACTTACCAATCATACTCTGTTCTCCCAATATTCGTCGAAAAAGTAGCAAGAACGACAAAGGCACTAATGCCATATATCGATATATTCAAATAATTTCGCGGCTGTCTTTGATTTCACAAACGAAGAAATGGTTTATAGACAATTTGGCATACTTAAGTCATTTTGGCAATTTTGCCTACTTGTGACTTTGGTGCACCGAGGGTGCGATATGCATTTAGTAAAAAGCGGTTATTTTAATATTACAAACAGACACTCCAATTTTATTTATTTGTATAGATACTTCATGGAATCGGCGTTGTCGTTTGTCTAGCTTACGATAGTTTGAGATTTTTAGGGTTTTTGTTGAAATCGTGGTTTAAACAGCAATGTTTCGGGTGTATTAAAATTGTCTCGAATTGAAAAGTTTTAATCTAAGATTTAATTATAAAATGATGTGTATTTAAGTAATTTTAGTTTGTTTATTCCACTGGATTGTTAAACTAAGGTCTTAAGCCGATTTTAGGATAATTTAATTACTGTTAAGTTGAAAAGGTTTCGTACACGAAATGAACTTTAAGGTTTTACCTGAGATTAATATACTAGGTGATACTTATACCAGAAGGGGTAGACAGGCGTGTTAAACCCACATTTTTGTCGATTATATTTTATAGTTCCAAGCAATTTACAGTTCCATAATATTCGTAAATCATCACCAGCCTATAACAGTCCACTGCTGGACATAGGCCTCTCCTTAGCATGGAGGTTTTGGCCTACTATACCACGCTGGCCAGACAGGTTGGTATAGGGTTTGTTTCAAGTTTTCCTTCTCTTTGCAGTGCTGTTGCCCTGCGTAGTTTGCTCCCTTAGTCGGCTCTTACGACACCCACGGGATGAATAGGGGTGGTGACATTCCGTATTCTTAACCCGTCACCACACGGACTGAGTGCACCTAAATAAACATACTAATCTATATCTGGTGTAAGATGAAACTGGCAGAGATCAGCGGGGTCAGTAAATCTGACTCTCTGACTGAATCAGTAAATCTGGGACTTCCCGAGTGTCATAACTCGGTGTGTTCGAGAATCACTGCTGTTGATCCTGGTGTACAGGAGTTACAGTGGTGGGGGTGTGGGAGGGATTAGTCCCATACAAAACTAGTCGGTAAATCAGTCAGCTTGTTAGTTTGTATCTTCTCTTATACATATATGTATAATCTTGATGAAACAATGTTGTAGAAACAATGAGCCATATTTTATTTTGTGGCAACATACACGTATAACGTAAAACATACTTCAACGCCATCTGACGATAACACACCGATCTACGGAGTAACTACTTACTTCTGCATCGCGCAATTAAAATTCTCGCGCCGATTAATTTAATATATACAAATTACCACCATCATTGTCACTGCGTCTGTTTTTGGAATTCTCCCTTGTGTTGTACAGATATGATCCATATTAAAAATCCAAATTACACTATAAACCATTCCGGTTATTTTTTGTGATTACAATGGTTTTTTTAAAGGACTTTCAGGACGGCAAAGTTAAGTTTGTCACTAGGAAAAAAATAGTAAAAATCTTCGAGAATGAGGTCCCTTGATGATCGAAGTATCTAAATATACGAGTATACAGGTTTAAAAAGTACCTTCGGTGTGCGAATCAGCCCGGCACTTACCCAGTTTCTTTAAGTTAATAAAAAATAATAACATACCTGGATGATTCTTAATATCAAAGTAGTGTTCTGGAAGTCGTATTCCAAGGAGAAGTGGATCTGGCCGACGTTCTCCGATGGTTCAGAGTTGTCGATGTACATATCCACCAGCGATATGGACCGGTTCTGAAGGAACGCCATCTGTTAGCGAAACACAGTACTTAAAGCATTTGGGACAGAGAGCGCCGTTTCGAAGCAGATTCGAGGGCAAGATTTTGGTAAAAGTATGTTGAATTTATTGAAAAACAAAAATAAATAAATAATTAAGACTTTTTTTACAGTTTTTTACCAAAACCTTGGCCATTCTGCATTACCGTGCAAAAGTTATCAGTTTTCCTGCAAACTGTGTTTAATTGCAGATTATTTTCAAAATATGCATTTAAAGTATAATTTTTTTAAGATAATTTTAATTTGAATACTTTAATCATTATAATACACATTTACAGTTAATGATTATAGTATTACATACTTAATAAAACCATACTTTATTCAAAACAGTGAAAATCACACGAAAAAATCAATCCATGAAATACATGCAATGGGTTTGGGAAATTCATTCACTGTTAAGGTTGTACACCTAAAAACAAAAATCGTTTATGTACAAAAGTTGTACTTAAAGTCGTGCTATTTCAAAAATATATATTCTGTAGACAATAGAGTCGATTTTTGAATGTCATGACATTTGGCTTCGAAACGGATTAATTAGAGAATTTTAAATGAATTGTAAAAATTTTTTTTTTTAAGCAATTTAATCTAAAGCTAGGCTAGATTTCTAACTATACTAATATTTTTTTGTAATAAAAGTTATATTAGCCTAAAGAAAAAATATTTATCACAACTATTGCATGGTACTATTTTATATTTATTTAATTAAATATAATGTGAGATTTGAATATACTAGATATTTAATTTACTTTTATTTTGTATCGCTATACTTAATTTGTTTTAAACCCTTCGCTTCACATTATTACATTTAAATTTCAATTAACAAAAAATAAATAAAGAAAAACAGTATTTCTGTAACGGTATCAAAAAAAATTGTTTACATTTTTTAATAAAAAACATAAAAGAAATGTTAAAAAATATATATGTAAATATATTTTGTGCGATATGCAGCTTTATGTTATGAATTTATTACAAATCTCACAATATATAAGATTGTTAATCTTTTGGGTAATATTTAGTTGTTAGTGCTAAGCTAAACTAATTCCTACGCTACGTATCTAGATCTAAAATAATGTATTGTGAAAAATTGTGATTATTTAAAGTTATTTTTTAAAAAATTAAGTGATTTTTGTGTAATTAAATAACATTACCATCTCGCTTGGAATTTTGCAAGTGACTTTTTTTAAGAAAAGTGTTAATTTATGCTACGAAAAGCTATTTCAATTTTGCGTTGCTGCTTTTACAAAAACTAAATAAAAAATCCCAGCATAGCCAAGCGGGCTTGCCGAAAATAGCATCTCTATAGAAATTTTAGAAAAATTTAAAAAGCGAATTTTAAAGCCTTCGCTGATTTTTTAAATCTCTATTTTTTCTTATACAACCTCTTCTACCTACCATATTTGAAGGAGAAAGCATGGAAAGAGAATTCATAGTTTAGAAAACACCACACAAAATAAAATGAAAAACTAAAAGGAGCACAGTTAAAAAAAGACAGTTCGGAAACGATAGCGACTTTTTTTTACAATTAGGCTTTTTTGCACTTTTTAAAAATATACATGTATATTCGTATGATGTCTTAATGTGACTGCAAAAAGTCGTGATCTCGTGTAGATGTTTGTTATAACATTGACGTAGTTTTATTTATTTGACGTGATGTCCTAATCGATCCTAAAGTGAACTATAGGTAATCCTTACGCTATATACTATCAAATAACTAAATCTAATATATAAAATTCTCGTGTCGCGGTGTTTGTTACCAAACTCCTACGAAACGGCTGGCCCGTTTTTTGTGAAATTTTGTGTGCACATCGGGTAGATCTGAGAATCGGCCAACATCTATTTTTCATACCTCTAAATGACAAGGGTGACTCACCCCTTAATTTTTTTCAACATTTCCTAGAAATAATGTATATGGCAAAACATCGATTGCCGGGTCAGCTAGTATAATATATATCACAGATTATTGTTATTAGTTCATGGAGAGTGCTCAGAGGAATTGTTCGGACTAATACAGGCCGCAACTTTCCGCCATCGTTCCACAGGGCCAAATTTTCATCCTCATTATCTGAATAGTTGAGACACGTTTCGAGACACTTTTTGCTCCGCACAACCAATCCGATAATCAGTATTTCCAACCGATACGACCTTCAAACCTTCAAGAAAAGAGCGTACTCCTTCCTAAAAGACCGGCAACGCGTTTGTGACTCCTGAGTTGCAGGCGTTTATGGGTGGCGATGGTCACTTTCCATCAGGTGCCCCATCTGCTCGTCTGCCCCCTCTCATTTAAAAAATAAAAGTTATTAAGTTATTCCTTTCGAGCTAAACGTGTCTTGAAGTTTCAAATACAGTTGCAATGTTCTTGCACAGCGTTATAAAATTTAAAATGCTTTTCATGTACAATAGCAACTCCACATGTTTGTTCTAAAAGGTAATTGTGGAGTTTCGTTATTACTGTTACATTTAGAACAGTGCTCACATAGTTATAAAAGCAGTTAGGGTTGACACTCACGAGTAATGAACATTTAATACCAGTTCTAATCAGGACTAGCGGGTGTCACTTTGAATATATTTCTATTAGCTTTTGTGTTCTTCAGGGCGAGTCGGTGCAGGGAAACGTATACTGCTCCGATCTTAATTTATCTATACTATGTATGTAAAAAATATGTAAGTATGTTTATCAGCAGTCTGATTACCATAGTACAGGCTCTGCCTAGTTTGGAATCAGACGGTCGTGTGGGAGATGTGTAAGATATATATATTATGTTATATTATATTATGATTATATCTTTAGTAGTATGAAAATGTGGCAAATAAAATAAGTTGTAAGTATTTAAATGGGTGTGTGTTACAAGGCCACAATTTTTATACTGCCCAGTTGATGGAGGACTCTCGTTAGATATTTTTTTGTGCATTGTTTAAAGCTTCTGAAGTTCTTTATAAATTCCATCGCAGAACACACACTTCAAAAAAAATAAAACACTTTAATTGTGTAACATTGTCAAAAACTTACACAAACAAGAATGCGTTTTGTAATGTTGTAGATCAAACCAGAATTTTCCTTCTCAAGAAAAAGGGTAAAATAATATATTTATACATGTATATGATAGATAAATCGGGTCGAAGTCAAGATTGATTTCAGGAAGCTGAGAGCAGCAAATACTGTTTTATTCGGTACTTGTGTGCTTATTTCACAATCTAATATTTTAACATCATCATTTCTTCACTCACATCATCACTGCGTCTGCTCTCCATTTTTTTTAACCAAAATTATTTCACGAAACAATTCAAGTGCCAACCCTACCCCTGAAGCAGGCGCTAAATAAAATATCCTAAGTAATTTGAGTCTAGTGCACTCGTCCTGGCTAATTTGTTCAACCTAAGGACTTGGTACAATGCTGGAGCGAAGGCGGGTTTTCCTCACCATCATCAACAGCCTTTAATAGAAATAGGCCTCTCCTTAGAGGTTTTAGCCTATTATACCGCTCTGTATTTATTTTTTACTTCTTACAAATGCATTGCAGACGCATTAAGGCGGATTTGGCATTTTCTTATAGTCAACCTTTGGGTGATGCAGAGTTGTATGTGACAGGTGTATAATTGGAGCAGACGAGATGAGATAAATTTACTCAAACTCAAAATATATTATCTTTATTTCATAAAAAATATATTTGAAATCGTCTTTTATGTAGACTCTATAGTCATAGATCAACACACAATTGCAACCATCTCTGTTTTGTCAAATATTTAGCAAAATAAACAAAATATAATAATCTCTATCGAAAATCTAAAATATACCTGTGTCGATTTACAACCGCCCGTTTCCAAGGTGTTGAGCCTTATGAGAAAAAAGGGCAAACACTCTCACACAGCATTATAAATAGTTATCAGTTGCAAAATGTTGTACTACGTGGACACACACACACACACTGTAATGTGATGTGACACACACTGTGATGATGACTTATGTAAAGAAACTGTGGTAAGTCCTTGTTAGAATAAACAATAATTCGGTCAAAATGGTACTAAGAAACTATGTATTTAAGAGTATGTTCAACCGCGTGGTAAAGTTTCCGCATATCAATACTAGTACTAATATTATAAATGCGAAAATGTGTCTGTCTGTCTGTTACCTCTTCACGCTTAAACCGCTGAATCGATTTAGATGAAATATGGTAAAGAGATAGTTTGAGTCCGGGAAAGGACATATGATAGTTTTTATCCCAGAAATCATCCTTTAAGGGATAAAAAGAAGTTTGTACGGGGAATCAATAACTGCTGACCCGATTAAGATGAAATTTGGCATGGAGACACTATGACTTTTGAGGAGGGACTTAGACAATAACCGAAATAGTCGCAGGCGGAGCTGCGTGCAAAAGCTAGTACTCGTATATGTCAATATTGGTTCAACCACGGAGTGCACCCACGACCTCACAGAAAACAGCTGCTAAGCAACTCTTTTGTTGCTTTCATTTCAAGGTTACTTTCTGTAGTGGTGGTGGTGGTAGGGCCCCACTGTGTACACTTGTGACTCTTGTATTGCAAGTTTCTATGAGCTACGGTACTCACCTACCATCAGGTGTCCCGTCTGTTATTTTGTCCTCGATACCATTAAAAATTGATTTAAAATACGACCATTTGAATTGAGTACCTTTTCCTAATCAAATTTTCTAAGTCGCTTGCGTCTCTTAAACTGTACCACGTTTATAAAGGTTCAATGAACACTAAGTTAAATGTTTCTACGTACTTACACCCGAAAAAGCAATTTTGACACTAAATTTTGGATGAATAAGACTCATGATATTATAAGGCAGTGAAGTACTAAGGACACTCTTATTCTGAGCATCACTCATGGAGCTATTGTCTGCTTTCCTATAGGCCTGTTTTCTAAGAATGAAATGAAAAGGAATAAAGGAGTTGTCCATTTTTCTTTTTATTTTTTTAAAATTTTAAATTAAAATTTAAAATTTTAAAAACCTGTAATTTGGAGAAGACATCGTTTTTAATTTTTACGCATATTTTTAGGCCAAATACGAACAAAACTTTTGCTACCCATGCTCACCGAAATATAAAATGACAAGTTTGACAGTTGTCTCTGACGAGTCACGTGTGACAGATGGATATTGTAATATTGTAAGATAGTACCACATTCACACAACGCCATCTAGTCCCAAACTAAGCAGAGCTTGTACTATGGCTACTAGACAACTGATATAAATACATGTATACTTTTTTCTGTAAATACATATTTATTATACATAGAAACACCCAGACCAAATCAAACATTAAATGTTAATGCACACAAATGTTTGACTTGAGCGGCAATCGAACCCGTGACCTTTGGAATAGCAGTCCATTACACAAACCACTACGCCATTCGGACGTCAACGGATGACGGTTATGTTGATGCACTTGTTGTGTTTGTTTTGTTATCATTTTTTATGTTTACATATTAAATATACGTATAGTATTAAGTAAATGTTAATTGGATCTGTTAATAATGTAACAAGGAACGATTTAGCTAATATTATGGTGGAAGAGCACTGTTGTGAGATACAGGTGTTAAGCCTAGTTCAGATACAGATGCAGAATTTTATTTAGACCTAATATATATAAATTATTATTGTTATACCTGGTGCGAGAGTTGTCCTTTTTAAAAAGCAGAACAAATGTCCTATTTGTCCATTTTGTCCAAAAATATGCCTAACATTATCTATTTGTAACGAATTATTTGATTCTTTTCCATATTTTTATATATCACGTAGCATGTACCATTTTTCTTCGGTCATCAATCGGTCATATTAATGATCGATCTGTAGTAATAAACATAAAAAGAAAATATACAACCAAAGTAAAAATATTCTTATTCGTTTTCTGAAGTCAGTTAAAATAAAACATCTTTAGCAAATATTCATCGAAATAAAAAAGGGTTCCCATGTGACATGAATCCAGAACACATATCTGAAATCCCAGTTCAAACATCCATACAATATTTAAAAAAGAAATCAAATTGACCTAACCACAGGGTCACCCCAGAGATTCCATTTTCCTTAATATTTCCGCAAGAAATCTAACGTAATTCCGCTTGCAAAAACATTGGGCTTGAAAAAACCAGCACATTCAGAGTTCTTCATGAATAATGTAACGAATACATTGATAGACTATCCATTGAATTGGAAGTAATATGGAATTTCTACATACAATTACGCTTGTTCCCCGAAGGAGTAGGCAGAGTAGTTGCAAAAATAGATAAAAGCCATCTTTGAAGCGTGTTGGTTATGGTATTAAAGTTTGAACTCAATCGATGCAAACCAACTTTACATTAGGTATTTATTTGATAGATTTTGAATCAGTCACGTCATCAAGTCATTGTTATCAACAGTAATGGAAAAATGAGAAAATACTATATGACAGATGTCAGAAATTTGATATTA